CCTGTCTACCAGGTTTGTCTACCCAAGTAACTTCTGCTTCTTTCTACAGCAAACTTTGATAAAAACTGACATTGTAATTGATTTGATGCACTGTAATTAATCTGATAAACAAAAGGCTGGAACATGCACCCTCCTCCTTCTAAGGTCCCCCAAGTCACGAAGCAGTCTGCCTCTGTGGGAGCGCCTTTATGAATTACAATGAATGGTATTTCTACTTTTATCCTGAATGTTGATGTGGACTAATGGAAGGGATGGTGTTTCATCTGGCTGAGAGCTGTATTTGGTGACAAACACCTTTCCATGACTGTGACTGAAATTTAAGGCAGATGTCTGCTAAAATATATAATCATTATATATGTTTATAATATATAGCAATTTTAATCTGCTGTAGTTTTGACTATAGCATTATATATTGAACATTTATATAGGTAAGACTCTACTGTATGAAAATCCTGTACAATGGTTTGTCCAACACTTCAGAAAAAACTTTCTGAAACAAGGGAGTTAAACAGACTGATAATATCTTGCTATCAGTCTAATCTTCCCTTGATCCAGTGTAATGCTTTGTATTTCATTCCAACAAAAATGTCATTTTAATTCCCCAGCTGCAATTACATATGATTGTTTAATCAGAATAAGATTTTAAAAAAATATTATGCTGCACTTGAAAAAAAAATTGTAAGTTTGGATCTAAAGCACTTTTACTTGCTGATTTTGCTAATAAGAAAGTAATGTTTATATGTTGGTTTTTTTAAATGAAAAAAGTGTCATGCTTAATAATATGCATTTTATTTTAGCCATTACATAAATTGAGAAATTTCACACATTAAACAGAGACTCTTTCAAAATATCCAGTGCAATATGCTGCAATTTCAAGATAGCATGACCAATCTCACAGAATCAATTCTCTAGAACACAGTATGTTTGTAGATCAAAGCAACCCCTAAAGTAAAAACACTGAATATTTTTCAAATTCCATTCTTTAGCATTTATGCAGAAATCTTTAAACATATTATCTAATCTAAAGACTGGCTTTAACTCTGCTGCTATGAAACTTAAGTACTTCATCATTTCTTAATTTCAAGACCAAGGAATATTGCAGGTGAAATATACTGCTTGTATATAAGTTAACAGTGTCAAGCACTTATTGGGTGCTCAATAATCAATGGTACTTCTGCATGGCAGTATGAGATTGCATTTGAAATAGGGATTTATGACTCATCTCCATCTCCAACACAATAAATTACATTTGATTTGCATTTTAAAAATCTAAAGATACCCTGAGATATCTTCAGTTAGTTAAACGTTTTTACTGAAAAAGAGGAAAAAAATCCCCTTATGTCAAAGAGCAAAAACCAGTTTATAATTGGTCATATTCTTTTTTCAGAGAACAGATTGCTAGAAAAAACCAATTTTTGGTATTACAAACTCTTGTCTTTTGATAAATCTCTCACTGTGTAGTGTGGACATTTTAACAGAACCTGTGCATTACCATCCACATTCTATCCATAGGTTATTTTTAAATGATGTCTTTGACCAAACTACTGACAAGTGTAGGCTATGGCACAACTTCTAGGTCTCCCCTGACATCATCCTGCAGACAGGGGATGTGCAGCCATGTGAAATGTGCTGCTGATCAAGGTATCCAACACCTTCTGCATGGAAACTGGGAAAGAGCAGAAGTGCGAGGGACCATGAACAAAGATGGGTCTCAGCCTAACATGAAGTCAAGACCACCAGGATACCAGCACCTGGATCTACTGTGCAGGCATAATCTAAAAAAAGCCTATATCTAGAAATTTGTCAGCACTTGTCAACTTTTCCTGTCAGCACAGGAAAAAAAGAAAAAAAAAAAGAAAAAAATGTAGGACTCTACACATACATAAAAGCTGATTTCTACAGATTTCAGTGAATCACTATTGATCTCATTCAGGATTCAGGATGATGATACCCACATTCCCCTTTTGTTTCCCATAGTATCCCTTAATATTGGTCCACAAGAGGAGTTTTATTGGAAGGTGAAGAAGGCCAGAGAAACGCCTTCAAACCTGAGCAGTCTCATTGGTGCTTCCTACCATGTATCAAATGTACATTGACTTCCCTAAAAACCAAGGCAGTGTAGTCATGGTTTCTCAGCCCAGGAGTTTCCTTCTCTCTAGTGAGGCTCCCTGGAGAGAGCAGAGCACTGTTGTGTAAGATAGAGTGATACGACCAAGCATTTGGCAAATGGATAAGCTCTGCAGTGACTGAGTTTTTGGGAATTACTTCCCAAATTTCCTGTCACTGATCAACACTTATAAAACATATTAATATTTATCATTAAATATTTTCCTTAAGGAAACTTGCTCCTGCACCAAAAAAAAGACACAGATCACAATTTCCACCAAAAGATGTGAGAAAAACACTTAAAGATGACCCAAAACATTTTAAATCCTATAACAGAATTTAGTTGCTGCCCTTCTGCACAGAATCAAAGTCTTCTATCTTTTTTCTAGCCAATATATAGTCCTGGAATTGGAGAAAATGAAAAAGTAAATAAGTTCTTGTGAATACTGCTCACACTGCACTGTTTTATGACTCTTCCAAAATACCCAATTACTTTTCACATTAGTAGTTCTTATGTCAACTGCAAAGAAATGCCTGAGGGTTTTCCCTCTCAAGAGATTTGCTCTTTTAAAGCAATCCTTGGTTTTAACAACCTGGAAGGGGATATTCTTCTAATGCAAGATGTTCTGAGCCAAAGTAATTTCCTGTGTTTGCTCTGAGAGCTGAAAACATTTTATGCAGAATCTTTGGTGCACCTTTTCAGAATCATCTCTCAAAGAATTTTGGAACTTCATTTCATGTTAGAAGCACTTTCCACACCCCTAGGATTGATTGGAGTTTGGTCACTGTTTTCATAATTCCATGGACATTTAGCACTGACTGAATGGCAGCGTAGCAGTTACTATGGCTCAAGGCTCTGAGGTTTTATGAGGCAACATGTTATTTCTGGTGGTGGAATTTGCTTTTGAGTGGATGGATAAACTTGAGAGATTCATAACAGTGTCTCTGCTGATTTTCATGGTAGTGAAATTTACGCTAATGTGAAATGGACAGTTGTGGAGGTTTATTTATATGATTCACATCCATCCTAACCTGGGGCTCTTCAGAACGGAATTACCAAGGACATTTATTTACCTCTTCCTCCTTTTTGTTGGATAGTTTCTAGAATCCTGCTTCTCGTGAGTATATAATCTCCCAGTTTTTCCTAGTTTCATTTTTTTCCCTATGCTATACTAGACAAAATATCTTTTTTGGTTATTTACTCTAAACATAACTGTATTTCCAACCTGCTCTTCTTAAATTCTACTTTCTTTGATGTCTAACACCTTCACTTCAGGTTTATTTCCTTTTTTTTTCCTGTGAAATTTCTGCGTATTCTTTTCTTTCTTCTCTTTTTCTCTGGCTATCCCAATTAATTTTGTATAATCTGGTTTGACTTCATTTGTATTTTTCAGTAAATTTATCTACCCTCTAAACCCATCCACTTTTTCTCCACTCCAGGAATTGGTTTCCATTTAGCACGTGTGTCCTGTGCGAGCTTCATGCCTTACTGGGAGCACTACATATACCACACTCCAGATGGTCTTAAAACCTTGGTAGCCAGTCTGCAAAATTGCTGTTGTTCTCCTTTCAGTAAGGTTATAATTTGTAAACCAAAGGACTTTTCACTTATACACCTCATTTTGCTGTCTCCGATTCACTCTCAGATTCACTAAGCCTCTTCATTAGTGATTTATTCAATATACTCTGCATCTGAGGGTCTACTACATCTGCATCCAATATTTAGTTCACTTTCTCTCTACTGAGGTTATTTATCCTTTACAGGGTATTTCTCTTCAAGGTACTTTTGTTATCTAGATCAGATTAATGAATGAGCAACAGAAAAGTTCATTATTCTGTGATTTTAACAGTGTTAAATGCACAAGCTTCCCCACAGATGTATGTTAAAACCCCACAGTGCAGCTCATAGGATTTGGGAGTGGGATATCACTATCTCTTTGAGAGGATATATGGAGGTACTTTGCCCAAATTTTTCTTAAAGGACCTAAATAGGTATTTCAACACCTAGCACAAGAATTTGTACAATTAGGGTGAAGTTCACTGCTGGGAGGAGAGACCATATGAAACCTCTACATTACTCACACCGCAACTGAGTGTTCAGAGAGTAAACAATGACCAGGTCTTATCTTGTATCTCATCCATAAATTTATTAGATGATCAAGTATTAAACTGTTTATCCAAGTGATTTTTTTCATTGAAGTGTAAGGTCTTGTACATAAAATGCACATAATACTGCACTGGGCTCTAAGTTTGGGATTGATCTCACTTGACTTTACATCTGGATCTCAGCAAGTCATCTAACTTCAACTTGTTGCCAGTGGAGAGAGGAAGTTCCATTCACGAGATGAACTGTGAGCCCACACCAATTTTACCAAACCAGCCCACTACACTGGTGTTTGCTTTGAAAAGTGAAACATGCCATGTATTACAGAGATGTAGGAGCAAGCAGAGAAATAAGTTATGGTTGAGAACATGGACACCAGCTGGTTTCCCACTGATTGTTAAGTTTGCTTCCTTTAAACTGTTTCTCTCTAAGGAGATTTTTTCTCTTTTTGGTCTAATTTCTCTGTTTTGATCTAACTCCAAAAAATATTAAAGTGTTAGCATGCTATTTATTCTGTAAAACTATTTGGCTCCTCCTATATAGAGATATAGATATATAGAGAGAGATATATATAAAGAAAACGGTGAGCACCCATCCTGCATAACCCTGTTAGTTTTTACACTGGTCTGGGATTTTATGCAGTTATTCCACCACTCCCCCAGCTGCTTTGCACTCTACCACTGCCACAGTAACATTCATGTGCATGGCCCTTTGCACAGCAGCTGACAAAGAAAGCTGAGCACACAATCACTTCTCTCTGTTTGCTCCTGTTGTTGTCGTGATTTATTAGGTACAAAGGCAGGAGACTGGCCCCTCCACACAAGTCGGAAATAGAGTGTTTCACCCCAAAAGGGAGTATGGGGAATGGTGGGCGAGCTACAATGACCAGGTAAGCAAAGAGCAAGTGGCCTTAGGTCAGTGTGATATGTCTGTGAACAGAAGAAACAGCCTTGGATAATTCCAGGCTAGATCTTCTGTCTGTAATTCCTGTGTATCCCATAAAGTATGTTTAGAAAAGAAAAAAAAAGAAAAAAAAAAAAAAAAAAGAAAACGTGTTGCCACTGCTGATTTATGTGTTCCATCTGACTACAAAAAAACCCTGCACCGTGTTCATTCCACTGATCTGAACCACATGTCCTGTGTGATGTTGTTGAAATATAGTGCTTTGGGGAGGAGAAATCTTACACCTCACTCATTAAGCCACTTGGCCAGATGAAAAGAAGCAGAATTTAAACCTGGAGTAAGGGCAGGCCCACTTCATTTTAGGGGTTACATTAAGTCTAACCAAAAGAACTTTTTAAAAGGGCAGAGAAAAACTGATTGATAAAAACATATTCAATATGAAAATGTTGGTTCTTCTCAATCAAAATATCTTATGGAAAAGTGCTGAGTTTTACTGTTATTTTAAGGAAAGGTTTCAAAGTAATTTTAAGTACAATCAAAAGCATCTTTTTAATAACTCTCTCAATTTAATTCATATACTTATTTTTGCTTCGTTGTCAATATATTTTGCATGACATTAAGCAATGCTACAATTTAATGAATATCAAATACTACATTTTCCTCAATGTTACTAGGATTAACTGCTTTAGTATGGCCATTTTGATGTTTTTCCTCTTGAATTACTTCAAACTACATAATTCTGTGCAATACTCAGAGATTTCAGCAATTCTTCTCATTTTGAGTCCAGCCAGATTTCCAAAAGTTGAGCTTTCCCATGGGACAGAAATTTCATTTTTCCATATATGTCCTTTCATAAATATATAAGCACATACATGCCAAAGATGGTTACACATCTTTCACGAAACAATGTTTTTAAGAAGCATTGTGTCATTGTGTTATGTCCTATGAAGCATAAGACCATTTTACCATTTATTAAAAGACCTGCTCATTCCTTGTCAAGCCCTGTAGGATATTTACAAATGTAACGGTAGAGCACAGGGTGACCAGATTATACCGTCACTTTTCCCAAGTGTTACATCCCTTGGGAAATTTTATCATTGCAGGAGGGTGTTCTGGGGGACACTTGCACAGTGTTATGTTTCCCTTGGGTACAGCCTTCACACACATATGTAGGGCCATCAATACTCACACCACACAGCACACACCTGAGGGCTCCTGCAGTTAAAATACCACCAGAAACCTTGATTGCTGAGTGTTGCACACAAAGTATATTTTTTGTCAACTGGAGTGATTTCTTGTCTATGTGTCATCTGGATTTTTTTTTTCTCTTACATTACATTGCCTTCAGAAATATTTATTCTTCATTTAAAAGCTATCTGAAATCAATATATGATGGAACCTTGAAGAGTGGAAAAGTACATGTAATTGTCAGACAACTTGTCAGTATTTCGTTGTACAGTACTCAGGTCTGTTTTACCTGGCCATATATACACATTTGAAAAACTTCTTTTTTATATCTTCACAGTGAAGAACCTGTTTGCATCCCAGACTGTAATCAATCTGAGTCAAGTAGAGAGGAGAAAAAGGTTCCTGTTAAAGAGGATACCCTAGCAGTCAAAAAGACTGGAAACTGTGTCAGTCTAATAGTTCCACAGCAGGACTGTCAGCTGCAAGACCTACTCAAACAGTTAAGAACACCTGCTGCTTAATAGAGAGTGCAATCGCATTTGATGGCTGTGTCTCCAGCCACAATGTCCTGGCCAATGGTCCTTGTCCAATTTTGTGAGCTCAGCACAGTTGCCCTTGAACAGCCTGGGAATCTCCCAGACAGAACTCAGACATTTCAGAAAGTAGGTACATTCTCACATCCCAGTAGGTATCAGACCAGTGTTAGAAGCCACTGAGATGAAGAGCAGATGGAAAAAGACATACAGGGGCCTGACAATTTGTGAATGATGAAAAAAACTCATCATCTCATGGGACAAAGAGGTCTCATGATATGACCACTTACAGTCTTCCAGTCTAAATAATGTCATGCAATTCATACTGGGCAGTGTTGTTCAGCTCAAGTCCTCAAACACCTCGTGCAATGTGATATTTGTATTCCAGCCCTAGTGTGGACATTTTCCACATCTGGGCCTAACTATCCCTTTATATTAGTATTACAAGTGGATTTGGATGTTACAAGATGAAAAATGACACACAAATAGAAGTAGTGGGTACTTTATGTGTTGCTTTGAAAGGCTATTTCTGATTAGGGAAGTTACAACCTCCTGCATCACCTGTGAGAACCATTCACACGTATATGATAAAATCAACTATAAGAATGAGTTGTTTTATGAAGCTTTCACAAAGCAGCCATCACATCAGTTCTTTTACATTTCCTGCATAATAATACATTTTTTATTTGATTGAATGCAATGAATAAGAAACTGTTTAATAACTCACAGAGTAACTTTCCTGCTGATAAGTCCCATGCACAAAAATACTTTTGTAATTGTTTATTAGACATGCCAAACATGTAAAATTCCTCCAATTGCATGCTCTATGCAGAAGATAGAAGTCAAATCAACTCTTGACTTTGGAGATACAACTGGGAGAGTTAATTTTTTTTTCACCGGTCTATTGGTTGGTTTGTTGGTTGGTTTTTTGTTTGTGTTGCGTGTGGGTCTTGTGTTTCTTTTTTTTTGTGCACTGCTTTTACACTTGATTTCAGTGTCAGGTAATGTGATGGTTTCTATTTTTCCCAATTCCCACTTCATACTTTTAGCAATGAAAACAATGAAAAATCAGGTTGACCAATAAATGCTGAAAACACCTTAAAGCATGTTCTGCTTTAAGTGGAACTCAGGAAGAGGAGCTCAGAGTTCAAGAGGTGTCATTGTCCTCTCTCCATCCTGTGAATAGAATGCTCCAGTGTAGCAGAAGTGCTCAGAGATGCTTGAAAAGGCATTTTTCAGACAAAAAAGCATAACACAACTCTAGTTACCTTAATTAACAATAGCAATGAGGTCATGGTAGTAGAGAAAAGATACATCTCATACCAGGATCATTTTTGTATTTTGGGTAATGATCACTGATGTACTAGAAATGTTTCATTCAAATACCAGACCCTCCATTTCCCAATCTAACCAGGCAGGCTGCTGAAGCAGTTACCAGAATCAGCATCACTGGTGGCTGCACTGGGAGGTCACTGACAAAGGTTTTGTACATCAACTCTCTCTCACTTTGCAGTTTCTTTCATACTTACATATTAAAGTCACTCATAGAATTGTCAGCTGGGATTTTCATGAGGAAAGGAGGCATCAATATATTATGATTTTTAGAGTAATATAAATAATTGTTCTTGCTGTTGAAAAGAGAAAACTACTCTGAAAAATAATTGCAAATCGTTGTTTATTTCTAGAGCTCAGGACATGACAAAACTATTTTTTTTTTTTGCTGTATTGTTCCTCTTTTCTGTTTTGTTGTCATTTATTTCCACAGAAAAAGCAGTATGAGATTAATTTAAACTAAATAACTTGAGTGATATATCACTAGCAGGTTATTTGTTTGTGGCAGAATTGTCTTTTACCCAGGGAAACAATTACATAGGCATGTCGAGGTTTTCTTAAAAGCTTTTTAAAATTAGAAGAATAGCAATAAAATAAAACATTACATTGGTAGAATTTACCTAATTTAGACATCTTTGGTTCTGCATCAAGTTATCCAGGTTGTTCTATATTTCTGGGAGAAACTATGACTTGCTTCTTCATAGTTGTATACTGACATTCACCACTTCATTTCAGTGTTTTTAGCATGTTGCAAGGCACTTGCATTCTCCCAGGGATGAAGAACTTGGGTCACTACAAGCAAAAGAAATAATGATCTGAGATTGCAGGAGACAAGATGAAAGAAAATGCATATTTGCCCCTACTTGAATTCATCATGGGCACACACGCATAAGCATACCATCCCTTATGAAGAACAAAGTTTTAATTAAGTCTGCTGATAGCACACAAATCCTTTCCAGGCAGAATGATTATATCATTGAGTCCTTAATAAGGTTTCAGCCGAGGAGTCTAAAAGGAAAAGAGGTTCTAATTATTTACTTTGAATAATAAGGGTTCTCTATGGCAGAAAGCTATATGGGCTGAGCCAAGTACAGAAGTTTATCCTGCTTATCACTGCCAGTTGCTTCTGGAGATAACATGGGAAGAGTTCACTCTTAAAGATGCAAGAAATCTGCACAGTGTCAGAACTACACCTTAATTGCAACACTTCAGCCATTGAAACATCGGGCAAAAATTTGCTACCAATTTTAGCTCCATAAAATTTAGACCAGTGTTCTAAAATATGAAATTCCATTCATGGACTTAAAAAACTTAAGAATTTGGAATCTTTCCTTACTGTAATCACATGAGGATGGGTTGCAAACATATCATACATGTCTCCATCAAGTTATTGTCCGGTGTGTGTTTGCAGTTGTACCATTTCAAATTTGGAGTTAGATACCCATATAAGTATGCCACAGAGACTAAAAATTCCCTTACATTTTTATGGTTCCACTTATATTTTGGTCTCCACTATGCAGCTATGCATTCTGGGCTTTCTTAAAAAATAATTAATTCCACCACTTTAAACTGATTTTCCTAGTTCAGTGAAAGATATTGAGAGAAGAAGTCACTTATTTTCAAATTGCATAGTTTTCAGTAACTGTTCCCAGTACTGGTCCCTAGGCATTCAGCACCAGAATTAATTTTAGCAGCTCTGGTTAATTAACGAGAATGGCACCCTTGTTAAAATACAAGAGTTTTCAGCTGCTGTGTCTGTAAATTCCTCTTCCTGTTTTTAATTTCTTCTGCATTTTGAAGTACCTTACAAAACAAATTTGCTTCACTAGCACCTGGCTAAAGAAACACTTGTGGCAGACCTATGCACCATCTCATTAATAATCATACAACAGAGGAAGAAAATACTGCAACAAAAGTTCTACTACCTCAACAAAAGCAAAAGACCAAGTGACCCATTCTAGACAGTTTAAAAAATATTAGTAAAGGGAGGGGAATTTTTTTTTCTTATCTAAGTGTATAAAAAGCAGTTAATAACTCTCATGAACAGAAAAAATCCTTAAAGACAAAACTCAAGTGTCTCTAAAGAGATTCAGTAGGAGAAAAAAATTAGAAACAAAACTAATTGCTATTCTGTCATCAAGTGGACAACTGTAGAAGAAATATTTGAAATATCAGCTGCTTCAAATTTTCTCATTTATTCTAATTTTGTTTCTTGTACATATTATGTAAGTCTAGAAGGCAGAGAAAAAGCCAGTCTATCAAAATCAAAGCAGGTTTTAGTAAAGACAATGGAGAAACAATTACTGTCTGGTTCTCAGGAAATCTCTCTTGTGCATAAATCTGAACCTAATTAACCTATAGCAAAAGAAATTAAAAGCAAAAATAAAAGTTCTGCAAAATGCTTTGTTAAAAAAAAAACTACTGAACATTTTGGTATCACTGGTTGAAGTTTGCTCCATTCTCCTCTGCTCTATTCAGTGCAATGTGCCAGCAGAAGAACAGGCAGAGCAGAAGAATGGGATAGAAAAATTTGTATTCAGCCAAACTTTGTAGTGAAATTCCTTTGGGAGTTCAAAAGTTTAATTCTTCTGTTTTCAATTGATGGAGCCAATATCTGTTTAAAAGAAAAATCTAAAATTTCACTATCCTAAAGCTTCCCATCTTTGAAGAGTCAAGGCAGAGCTGGGCATAGTAAATGTAAACAATTCCATTACTAGATATCCTATTCTATGTCTGTGATCTATCTTTATTTCTCTATTTTTAAGTTGTGAGCATTGCGTGGTTTCCAGTTAACATGACAGAGTACCAATCAGTATGCAGTTAGAGCAGGATCTTAAAGTATTATCACAGCAATTTATCCTCAACCCACTTTCATGGCAATATAAGAAAACAAGAGGTGATCCTTTCACAGAGGCAAAAAAAATGATGCACAATTCAGTCCAGTGTTGACTTCCTAGTAAGAAGGTGCAGCATGATAAAACATAGGATTCATTTCTAACACAAAAATTCTTTAGCAATAGGGTACACTCCTTACTGAAAAATTATAGAATCAAAAAGGTTGGAAAAGACCTCCAAGATCATCAAGTGCAACTGTAAACCCAACATCACTGTGTTCACCACCAAGCCATTTTCCCAAATGCAAACATGTTTTGAACAGTTCCAGGGATGTTGATTCTGTCACTTCCTTGCACAGCCCATTCCAATGCCCCACCACCTGTTCAGTGGATGGTATTTGTGTCCTATTCATTTTGTAATATCAAGGGGTTTGCAGTGAATAATGGTCAAGTCTTTCAGACTTTTGCACAAAATTTGCGTTAAACAGCCATCGGGTCTCCTTCACAGCCCTAGGATCAACATGAGAGCCACATGCAGAGATAACTCTAGGGCAGAGTACAAAAGTGTGAGTGTATCAGCCAAGACTGACCCAAACCCAAACTGAGATTCAGAGAGGCTGGTGACTTGCACCACGGAAGATTTAACTGTTCACTATCTTTCCCAATGGTTCAATTCAATCTCAGATTTCATTCTTTCCCTTTCTCCAGGTTCTTCAGCCTCATATCCCTTCTTAATTATTGTCTCTTTAACTGTGACCAGGGAGGGAGTAGCATGTTGCTTTCCTAAATCCTTACAATCTGGTCTTCAGGCCATGAAAATATTTATATTTAGTACACTTTTAAATATTTAGTACAATTTTAAAAGGGTTTGAACATCTTGTACTAAGTCAGTGCTTGAAGTCAAGGAGGGGTGCTAGAATACACCACTTTCTTTGGGCAAGCATTTCTATTTGCATTGACTAATCCTTCATATTAATGGCATTTATTTCACCCCTGTGGCAGGCAGGCCTGTCACAGGTCCTTCTAAGACCTCACCAGGAGGACATCCAGGACTGGATCTGCATCCTCTCTTTCTTCCTGATCAAAGTTACAAGTGCCAGATCATTCTCCCTCCTGGTCCAGGTCAAAGACAGCTGCAGACGGGACAAGGTTTCATGGTCACATAGTGGAACTAGAGGCAAGATCTCATCTGCCAAACAATCTAAATTCTCCTCCTGCTGCTGTCACTGAGATCCCACTGAGCTCAAGACTCAGCGTGACCAGTGAGCCAGGGCTCTCAAACAGTTCTCAACACCCACAGAGTATGTGTTGCAAGGAAACAAGTGCATGGTCCTCAGAAGGAACAATTTCATTCTGCAAGACATTGGTGCCATCTCCTGCTCAGTCCAGAACTGGACTCCCAGAGATTCAAAGAGTCAAAGCGAGCAGTGCTACAGGACTGAGTTTGCTTTTCCTTCTTGCTCTGATTGGAGTACAGCAGAAGGAAGGGATTGTCTGAACAGCAAGTTACAAACCACCAGATGTTTTGCCTGGCATTTTGGGGGTAGGGCCTAACAGACAGCTTCCAAGACACAAATATCATCCTGGTGACCATTGCAGCAAAGGGGGGGACCCATATATACTTATACAGCTCCTTTCCCAGTCCTCCCTCTCCTAAAATACCCATTGTTTTACATTGTGTTTGTCTTCTGGATTCTGTCATGCTTCTTTTGAAGGGGAAATCTGTTGATATATGTTGTGTTACATGATCCATCGTAATTCCATGTAACGTAATCACAAATGTGAACCCACCAGGAGGTTTTGTTTTACACTCAGCATGCAACTTTTTTTTAGATGGCCAGAAGAGCTATTAAATGGATAGTTTGAGGGAAGCCTCCACATGAAGGCCAGTATAAAGTCATCTGTATTTAGTAAAGTATGCGCTTTGCAAACTATTATGCTGCAGGCTAACATGTGAGGATATCTTTTGCAGACTTAAAAAGCAAACAAAAACCAAATTTGCAGTAGTCTGCCAGGGTCTCCAGTGTTGTCTTTTCATAAATCCTAAATGGCTATAGCAAATGTTTTGGAAACCAAAGTGAATTGTCTGAAGTTTTGATGCATTTTATATATAAATCATGTTTATTTGTATGTGTGGACTGTTTTTCTTGTTGACATCATTTCAGAGTCATTGTCTGTTTCAGATAAGAAATATTTCTAATATCTTCCTTATTTCCAAGAACTATATGTTAATGTATGTGCAAACACCAGCTCATCAGACTGAGGAAGATGTAGAAGGAAATACTGTGTGTTTATAAGGGCCACAGCTGGCTTTTCTTAGGTATCAAGAGGAGACAAATAAGCAATTTTGAAAAAGAGTATGATGGGATCTGAAGAGAATTTACCCTAAGAGGACTCATTTTGCAGAAAAGTGGAGCAAAATGTTTATTGCTGTCTCCAAACTCATGTTACCACGAGGAGCTTGTATAGCTTGTCTGGTATTTCTTTCCTACTAGGAACATAGTTGAATTCTCTGAGCTCGCCTGCAATTTGAAAAAAATAATTTCTTTAATTTGGTGGCAGGTAGCTTGCCAAGTACCTTGATGAAGAAGTTGTTGTCCATTACCTACAACCAGTATAGTCCTTTCTGTGTGTTGCTCCAATGCTTTCAAATAGCGGGACAAAATCAGATTTTTTTTCCCCAGCCTTAACAGATTAAACTTCTTCATCTCCCAGTCTACAATTCCTGCCCCATACCATGAATCCATGTTTAGAACACTATACCAAGCTCCTTACCACTGAAAGCTCCCAGGCCAGCCCACACACCTGCCCCTGCACTCTAGCCAGTCCGAGTCTCTCACTCACTCTCTTCAAGTGTTTAATTCTTCCTTACTCCTCTATGCATCCCTCAGCCCCACAGGCCCTCTTCCTGACACCAGACCAACAGAAGGGGAGCCATCAAGTTGCTCTCTCCCCCAGCATCGACACTGCCTATGTCCCAAGGGCCTCATCAGAGGGGTTAGCAGTGGCCATGCACTAGCACAGGACAAGTGGTGGCTGGGGGCACAAATGGCCTGTGAAATGAGCTGACATGCTGCTTGTTTTCCTCGAACATACAGGTGTAAATGATAGATATATTGCAATAAATAAATATAGATGAAGTTACAGTCAGCTTTATAGTGAATATAAACTCTAAAATACCATATACCCTTGATATAGGTATAGCAATTAAATTTTTAACTTTGTAGCAAGTTACCATCTTATCTCATTTGTGTTTACAGCTCTAATGGGAAATCAGTTTCCTGGGCCCAGAACGAGAAAAGCAGCCGAGGAGCACACCTTTGGCAGCGGTTGTCAGTCCACATCAACAAAAAAGAGAACCCCAACCAAACTGCAGTGATCAAGCCTTTTTCTAAAAGCACAGATAGTAGCCGGCACAGTAGCAGCGCTACATTTCCCGAGGCTAGTGCCAAAACGCTTTACGACGTTTCGGAAGCCGAAGAGCAATACCCAGCTCAGTACCGACCGCAGACTCCCTCACCAATCAGCACTTTGAGCCACAGAACTGCCTCTGTCAGCCGAACAGAAGATGAAGCCCCCACCTTCCAGTCAGAACCTCCTCAGCGAAGCAGCTCCTCTCAAGGCTCCATCATGGAGCAGATCAGCAGCGTTGTTACCCGCTTCACAGCCAATATCAGTGAGCTGAACTCTATGATGCTTTCAACATCTACTCCAGGGACAGCGGGGGCTGCTCCTCTCTGCTCTTCCTACCTGATTCCACGGGAAATCCAGCTCCCTACAACAATGACCACACTTGCAGAGATCCAACCACTTCCTGCCATTGAGGTCAATGGCTCTTCACAGGCTGCTAGGAAACCTTCAAATGACAGCATCAAAGAAGGCACTTCAGAAACCCCAACGGCCAAGCAAGACCTGGAGGAGTTGGTGGCTTTAACTCCTCCTTCTCCTTTTAGAGACTCCATTGATTCTGGAAGTGCATCTCCCAGCTCTCCAGCTTCTGAATCAGCTCTCTGCATCCCGTCCTCTCCCAAATATGACACACTCCTCATCAGAGATTATACTCAAAGTTCTTCTTCGCTGTGAATGTAGTTCAAGAAGATGTTGGAGCTCAACAACTACAAGCAAGTAGTCAGGGGACAGCCAAGTCTTCAAGATCTCCAGTGTTTACGCAGACAGAGTGAGAGGCATTGGGTCATCTTGTGAGGAATGGAAGGGAGGAAGAGGAATCACCTGAGAGGCGGAAACATCAGATTAATTATGCTGATTTAAAGACAAAATGACTCTTGGCAGATTATTGTGGCCTTAAAAAAACATGGGCTTTTCAGAAACACTGAATCTATTTTTGAGGGCTTATAAGGAGTCTGTTAATCCAGTTACATACCAAGTGCTTTGCTTTAGTATTACAATGAACTGTGTGTACAATATAGGGGACAGGGGGGAACTAGATTGTAAACAACTGTACAATGGTTTGTTTGTTTACTCTGATCCCTTGCCCAGAAGTGAACCTTGATCTTTTATCAAGAATAGAAGACCAAACATTGAATGTACATTTTCTAACAGACTCAAATCTGGGACCAACATGTCAAGCTTTCTCTCTTTTTTTTTCTATGAAGATCACAAAAAGCAGTAATGTATGTTACTACAAAACCTTTTGCTGAAGAATATTGTGTCTGTGATACGTTACACGTGGATAACACTAAGCTGAGGCTTTGCAGTGAGTGACTGCAATATGGAGGGCTTTACAAGTGACTTCTCAACCTACGCATTTGTTTATGAAATTCTCTTCTATCAGTATCTAATTTCAATTTGTTATCATTGGATTCACCTTCACAACAACAAAACCCAAGGAAGATCTCCTGACTATTTCACCATGTTGCCAACTAATATTGAAGTAGCAAAAAATATTTTCTGGAGTACTGTTTTGTAATTCCCTTACCAGGGCAAGTTGTTGAGATGAATATTCTCTTTCTAGCAGCACTACAAAGCTACATTACAGCTGCACTCCCTAGAAAAATTAACACATTTTTATGGACATCCTCATGATAATGTTACCAGTTAAAATACTTATTCAGACTCCCATCTTTGCTTGTAACAAACAGGTAAACACCCTAAAGATTTTCTCCATCCTTTGAATGACAGAATTCTAGGATACCAATTTGGATTATGACAAATGCTAACTATCAGTGGGAAAGGTTGTCATAATCTTAATTAATATACACATATATATGGAAAAAAACCCTGTGTCAAAGTCTGCTTAGAGGTGATTAAGCTACTCTTTAATAAGCAACAATTTTAAAATTTATTTTGCTGCTGATCCCTTGCAGCTATGAACAGTGACAAAAAAAAAATAATACATTCAAAGCAATACAGAGTAATGGTTAAAACAAAGAAGACCTAATGAGATATGAACCAACAGAATCTTTGTTTCTTAGCAACTCACAGAAGAAACAAGGGGATTCCTCAAATTTTTTTTCCTATATCAAAGTAGTACAGTTTAGTGCACTTCATACTGTCACAGCACTTTTTTAATACAGGCAGGGAAGAGTTTTAAAGTTTGAATAGTAGCTAAATAATTTTTGATAGGTGTAGTTACATAGAACTTGTAAGTCAGACCCTAAACGCACACTGTATTTGCTCTCTTCTTCATGACATAGCTGTCCTCAGGTGCCAAACTTTTATGGGTTTGTTTTATTGAAGGATAGCATGAAGTGATGAGTAATGTACTTCAATTCAAAGTTGAGTTGATGTAGCCTTATATAGAAGACAGCCTCAAGGAAGGGAGCCTCGAAATAAGGCTGCTGTATTTTATTTTCAAAACCTTTAGATCTTGTTTCTTCGAAAATAACAAATATTTTGTAATCAAAATTCATACCTCCTTTTTCTCCCCTATGTTCAAAATCGCTATTTGATCAAACAAGTAAAAGATGAAAGCACATTCACATATTTTAGCAAAGAGCATTTTCTATTCCTTTGGGATGTTTGTTTCACTATTATGCGTTGTGCCCCAATTTGCTGCTCAACAACATTTAATAATGAAAAGTAATAGATGGCTGAATCCAGACCAGCACCTCACAGAGGTACTCTGGCGACTCTAGAGTCAGGCAATGTTATCCAATTGCAGTCTGGGCATGCTTGTCTTGTCAGGTACAGTCATTTATCAGCTTTGCCTATAGCATGAACAGGCAGGTCACAAAACACCTCTACTCCAGAAGGCAGATCCCTACACTAAGGCATGACTGAAGGTCCTTGTTGCCCATATGCAGTTCTTGCATCCTCGCATGACTGATCAGCACAGACTCAGCTCTGTGCAGCTGCACGGTTCCCAGACTAGAGCTCAGTTTTGCCCTCTTGGTTCACAGTACTAGCATGTCTCATCATTCCTTGGCTGTTCATGTCATCAGGAGAAGGCATCTTCTGTCACAGGTTACAACCCACATTTAAGAGAAAAGCATGTCCAATCAGTCTGTGATACAAACATTCTAATTTGGGGTGTTTAGACCACTTAAATGTTGTTCATGGAAGACTTATATGATAATATTTGTCTCCCATCAGTGCAATGTTGTTCTAATATAGAGTGTACTGAGATAACTAATGTGAAAGGATTATTTCGAAAGGATTCTATTACTACCTGTTCTCTTATACTTCAAACTATTGACCAATATTCTTACAAGAACATCCTCCACCTTGAACCTTCCCTAGAATTTCAGATCCCCTTTAGTCTTTTCTTATGGTGGTGGACAATTAATAGAATTGTATTACTGCTAAAATCTGTGGGTTTCACTGCACTGTGAAATAATCAACAGTGGAAATAAGGATTATATGACAAATATAAAATATTTCCTTAAATAAAAAACTAGTAAAAAGGAGTGAAAAATTGAAACTGTCAAGCTCAGCATAAATATACCTCTTCTGCTCTCAAACTGCACCACAGCTATTGCTCAGAGCTTCCTGACAATGGTCATGTGTATTGTCATGACAATTTAGGTGGAGATGCCCCATGTGCCCTGAATGCATGTTTTAAGAGCCTAAAACCTAATGCTGTGCAACCGAAATTTTAAACACTTTTTTTCACTCTCACTTTTGGAGGAGTCATGTATCTTTTGCGTATCTATCAGCCACAGCAGACATTTTAGTGACACAAGGAACTATGGATGGACCCTGCTGAGGTAGTACCTTCTAGGAGTCAGTCTATTTTTATTAAAAGATGGACAACCTTAGAGGCATTTAAGGAAGGCAGAATCTCTTTAATTGTGCAGACTGGAGCGCATCAATGTAATTTTTTATCACATGTTTGAATTTCAACAAAGGGAGGAAAGGTTTTATGGAGAAGAAGGCAAAAACGGTGTAATGTCTGTAGTAATAATCCAAACTAGCCCAGTGGGAGATTTGCAAGACTGGAAAGTTCTTTGGGAGAAGCCAGTGGATTTGACATAAGAGAAAAAAAATTATGTAGACAGACATCATGACTTCATTATGCTGTTTGTATGCTAGTCTTAGTTTAGGACATTAAGCTAGAGTGGCAAGGGTTTTCAGACATAAATGCAAAAGTTACAATAATGAACACTTTTCAACCTAACTAAAGAATGTGCAAGTACCAACTGAATGGCTTGAAATTTGCCTTCCAATATAGTGCTGCTGACACAAAGGAAATTAAAGGATTTGAAACTACTGTCATTCTTGACTACATGGACCTCAAAAAAAACCTCTTATTTCTTTTGTGCTTGAGGCCAGCCCTAAAGAGTGATGGTGTAATCACTTTGGATCTATGCTTTTGAATAAAGTGAGCCATTCTCAGGCCATTTGGAAAGAAGTCTTTGCAATACTGAAGAACTGTATTTCTAAATTGTCTCTGAAGAATGATTGCATGACTTTGAAGATGTGCTTCCTTGTACTTCTATCTGAACATTTGGTGCCTAGACTCATGCAGATACCTTAGACCAGAGATTTTTAGACCACAGTCCACAAATCACTTGTTGATATTTCACGGAACCTGGTCGATCACAAGGTGCTGGCTTCTTCCTTTGATTTCCAGCTACAAAAGTGAGATAGAAACTAAATGCTAATTCAAAAACCATTATAAGCTCCAAAAGTAAAAAAAGAAAAAAAAAAGTTATGTTAGTTTTCTTGGATGTTTATTCATTTGCTGTGTCTGTAAAAGGAAAACTTGTGTTAAAAACTGAGAGAATAAGCTATCAAAAGAGAGTAAATGGGAAGCCCAATCCATGACTCTCACTCTGGATGATTGTGGAGTTTCCCCTCAAATGTTTTCTTTAGTGTGCAAGACCAAACTGAAAGACTGCAGAGCTGTGGGTGTAATTTCTGTAAAGGAAAGTGTGCAACCTTGTTGTTCTTCTTAATACATCATTTATGAGGCGAGAGGATAAAAGATGACAGCAACAGACAGCATAAAAAAGAGTTGGTTCCTTAGGGAAATCAGAGCGCTATGCTCAGGACTAACAATGTGACCACAAATTTTCTATTGTATTGGAGGCCAGTGTCAGGTCTGGTTTGGCTGACCCCACAAAAAGAGACTTTGGAGCCTAAAGTTAGGATTTCAGTAGAATTTAATACCTACATTTTAAACTCAATTTTAAAACAACTATTCAAATGCCAGCTTCCTCCAGCATCTAGCATAGTATGTCTGTGTATGCTCAGAATTAACCTGATCATCACACATCTAAGGATCTTTGTACCTAACTCATGTTAAAACCCATCAAGGATGCAGAAAAATACATGAGAGTACACAGAATGCACCGTACAGTCTCCTGGCTGGAAAGTGCTCCAATGACTCATTGCTGAGTTTTTATTCATTTCCCCAAGGTATTTTCACAGGGCAGGAAAAAATTCAAGAGTATTGCAGTGGAAAAGGAACGGTGCAACCTGATAAGACATACACTGAATAAAATTAGATATCATATATGACCATTTAATATAAAATACTTTTAAAATTTCTGGAGCAGAGATAAGGTATTTTAACTCCAAAGAAGTAGAGGCTTTTTGTCTGTGCTACATACTGGCTAAAGAAAAAGTTAAATGCTTCCTTGAAAAATGTTTTTGTGACAGGAGGGAAGGATGTGCCCTTAGATAACTTCTTATCTGCAGAAATATTGTCTTCCATCTGGAGATCTCAGACCCCAACATAGAAAGGAGAGATTGAATCTTATTGGATAGGCAAAGGAATTAAACTCGAATAGCTTATTCTCTGAGCCTGAAGAGAAAGGGACTTATTTCATTTTCCTCCAGTCACCTTTTACAAAGGTGACCTGGCCCATCTTTGAAACAAAATGTATAGATGTCTCTATAAATTGATCCCAGAGGAAAATTAGCATTTTCTGCACATTGCATTTGCATACTGGCTCAAATAGAGTATTCCTAGACATCTTTTTCCTTGTTGTGTTGCTTTTGTGGGCACTAACTCTTCTCACAACTCCATAGGAAGGCTAGATATTTAACAAAAGGTCCTGATCTCCACACTAGAGCAAAAAGCTACGTATTACACAGAATAATTTTAAGTCCTGAAGTCCTTAATCTATTTGGATTAATGGAATCATTCCAGATTAATATCCATATAAAGATAATCAAAGTTGTATAGTGGTCGCTGAAGTCCAGATTTGACCATTTGTGCTGCAGAGAATTATAATGACAGGATATTCTTCCCACTCTCTTTTGAATCAATCAGCAGATGGATTTTACTAGATTCATTCCTGAAGCTAGGCTTGGTGAATAAGTCCTTCCAACTATTCATACTCTATCTGGTATCCCAGTGGGAAAGTCATCCTCTAACTAAACATGTTAAGGGATGTGAATGACCATGTCCAAAAAAACCCAGGAGGTCACAATTTTCTGGCAGTTTAATGAAACTCCAAAAATGAAGTCAATAGTCTCCATGAACAAGAAAATCTTTAATCTACTACCCATTTCACTTAATCTAGTAAAGACTTATGTTGAATTACCTGAATTCTTTTTTTTCTGTGATGGCTTATTATTTTATCCTTAGTTCAAATATCTCCAATTGCCACCAACAATTTTTTTACTGTGAAAAGGAAAAGAGATACAGGCCAGTGAAGCATTAAGGTAAGTAAAAAATTCATCTGGGTGATGAACTGGTGTATATGGCTGGTTTTGTCTAACCTGAGCAATGACAGTATTAACAAACAATAAATACTAAGTCACTCCAATCTGCCAAATGGGAACAAATATACTATGTATATTACATGTACTAATAGGATTATATGGCAGCTGCTGGTGGTATTTGTAATTAGAAATCTATATAGAATATAGATGTTTTAGAGAGATGGTGCCAATTCCAAAAGATTTATGTGGGCTACAAGTGCTTGTAATTATTTTTTTTTAATTTGCTAATAACTTATGAAGAACTGGTTTCAAACATTCTGTGACCGTTTGTTCTTTTTTATGTTGTTGCTGCTTATACTATTAAAACACAGAGAATGTAAAGTTATTATTTTGATGTGAACTGAAAAAGATTTTTCATAAAATTTAACATTTTTATCAGCTTTGGTTTGCTTTCTACCTGTACAAATGTAATTTATTTTAGCATTGAAGAATACACTTGCTTGTTTCTCAATTGTCTACATCATGTTATAGTTGGTGTTTATGTAGAGTCAGGTACTTTTTGAACAGTATTAAAAAGAATCTGTGATATGACTGAAAACTGGATTTTTTTTTCTCCAGAACACTTATAGCTATGTTTTCAGTGCATTTTTCTACAAACCAGGTATGCCTATACACAAACCCTTGAATTACAATCTCTCTCTTTTACTCCTCCCTCTCTTGCTTTAAAGGGTTAAGTTAACATTAATGGTATCATAGTTACATAACATTCTAGTATAGTTTGTCTTTTGGTGCACACACAATCTCATTGATGAGGCATATATAGATTTGAGAGAAAAGAGTAAAATAATCTAGACTTGAGCGACAGAAAACAAAGCTCTTCCACTTGGAATCATATACCAAAACTTTATTTTTATAGATGTCCTAAGAAACTACTTTACTCCTGCAATTGTAGATTCACATCTAATCTTGAACTGCAGAAAAATATCAGAGGAAATTTTTTTATGTCCTTTAACATTTGGTTTCTAGAGTTCTGCCTTTTTGACCACTAGGAATAAATGTCTTATCTCACGTCTGGCTACATTCTGTTTCCAGCCAATAGATTTTGCTATCTTCCTTGCTACATGCTAAAAAAAAAGACAATCCCCCAAAAATAAACAAACAAACAAAAAAAATAAAAACCACAACAAAGCCACTACTCAATAAATCCTGACCCATACAGAAAAGCAACTTAAAAACCCTCCCCCAAAACCAAATCAAACCAAACCAAAAAAAACAACCAAACCAAAAAACAACAAATAAACCCCACAGAACAAAACCAGCTTTCTAGTTTGGAAATCCTCTCCCTTCCATTCCAAAATCTGGGGTTCGTAATAGTCTTTATATTCTTACATAGACTGGCATGAATTTGGAATAATTATACTGCAGCTCTCAGATAAAAGCCAATCATACACATTATTTTCTAAACACATCTCTAGAGATACTGCTGAATCAGTTTATTTGCTGTTGACAAATAAGGGTGACTAATTCATAACACAATGGTAGGTAAAATGCCCAACTCCAGCTAAAAACCAATGTGAATTCATATCATGTCTTTGAACCACTTAAAACTCTACATCCCAACGTTAATTCCTTCAGTGTAGAAATCCACAGCAATTTATTCAGCAAAATCTACAGTTTTGTACCAAAAGAAGCATTGCAACTATTGCAATTTGAAGAGAAAGACTTTGAAAACCATATGCAACATCTTGTTCCACTGCAAAATATTTTTAAAGCAGTGCCTGGAACACTAGATCAAATTTGCTTTGTTTGCAAGAACAGTTAATTTATGCCATGCTCTGTGATCACCTCTCAGCCATGTTTCTTCTGAGTTTCTGTTATCACTGCAGAATGATGACATTTAGAAACTAATAAACTAATAAATCCCATTCCAAATTAAATCACAAATCAATGTTTACATTGATTAAAAAGAGAGGGGCACTATTCTATAATGCACTTTCAGAAATATCAGGGCAATCAGTAATGAGAAAAGAAAAAGTTCAATTTCTTAAAAAGTCTGGAGTCTAATTTCTCTGTCTGTCTGGAGCTTTATCTTTTATTCACATTTGGTCCTTAATTGTTATTTGATACCAGAGAAGCCTTACTGCCAGTACTGTCCTCCTCAGCTAAACTAATACATGGACTGGGTGCTCCTCTTCTTCTTACAGGAGTACCTTCTCTGTCTGCTCACAGAACATTGGGAAAAGGGCTGAAATTTTAAGAACTGCAATCACCCGTTGTGTCCATTCAGGGTCTATTTATTAAATTTGGTTTCGTATTGTAGGAGTTTAAGACCAAATCACAGTGGAGAGCGTGAGGTGTTTGTTACTGCAAAGGAAATGGATGAGCTTTCTTTTACATA